AAAACCTTTTTATGTATCCAACACACTAAACCTTGATCCATTTTTGTACAGTCGGTATTGGGAATTCATTATCACACGTTTCAAAATGCTAGCTCCGGAAAAGAAAAGAGATAATGAGCATATAAGCTAGGTTTCTTGTCGAAAAGATCTTCTTATCCCTAAAAAGGTCTCAAACTTCCAAACTTGAAAAATAAGAGAGACTGTAAAATTATTGGAATCGACCCGCCAGCCAGCCAGTCACCCACGAACCCACCGTGCAAGCCAACCCACCCACCCACACACACACTCACCCACAGACACACCGTGGGGCATTTCCGCCAAAACGACCCCTAACCCCTGGAACTTAGCGGATTGCCCGTCTTACTCAAGTGCCAAAGCAGTTTGTTTGGGTTTAGGTCAGGGGACTTTCCTCACAGTTGGAAATGTTTCGTCCAGACTGGAGCTGACTCGTTGGGAATGAAACGCCACAATACCAACATCCCTGAGGTTTCTGACACGCAATGAATTAAATTATTGTGTGGTCCCTAATCTTTTACTTTCTGTTCAATTTTTGTGGGTTAACCAATTACATTTTTAATTATTCCCACAAAGCCAAATCACCCCCCAGAAAATGATTTTTCCGAAGTCTGCAGCCATTTTCAGGCAACCCTCAACTCTCTCGGGCACTTTCTCAACCGTATATTTAGCTATTCTGCCTTTAGATGAAAGCCAAAAAACCCAGGGGGTTGTTCCTGGCAACTAATCGTACCATTTTGGAGAAAAAAAATTGGAAAAATCTCCTTTTTGCAAAAAGATACTGTGGGGGCACTTTCAATGCTAATGAGCTGGCTAAAGATTCTCACTTCAATTAGTTTGACTGCGCCCACTGTAGTGTAAGCAATTTCCTCGACCTTTATAACCGTGACGACAGTATGCTAGGGCTTAGTACGTCATTATCACATGAGAGCAACGTAGAAGTCGGAACATGAAATTATGGAGCCAAAATTCTTCCTCTTTTTCTGTCTGTAATAGGTTACCGGTACCATTGTTGGATTTCTAGAGAGAGGATTTCAGTTTTGGAAAAAGATATTCCTCCTGGGAGGACTTTGATACAAGAAAAAGGCACTCGGATACATATCTCCTGGCTCCCTTTACAAGTTGAAGTTCGCGACCAGGTTCAGTGTACGCGGCGGACGAACGTGCATGTACTTGTACATGATGCACGGTAGGGAAACTGGCAGAGAAACTTGCCTTTTCATGGCGGTGCTTCAGTGTTACACAAGCTTCTTCATAATTTTGCAGACAGTTCAACTGCTCTCACAGCAGCAGGGTCATTCAAGTTGGCTGGGGATTTTCCAGGAGGCTATTTGTGTGTAGCGAGCCGCCAACTCGTTTATACCCGATCCTAGCCAGAGCTGATCGACAAATGAGGTCAGTCAGTTCAGTGATTAAATTTTACATACTATCTTTGCAGGGCCTCAACGTACGACGACTGTATATAGATTTTAGATGCTAATGCAGACTGTGATTAATGTCCTCAGTTTTTGCTATGGTCACAAGCACACAAAAGCATTCAAAATGATTTATCATAAACATTTGTAGTATTTCAAACAGCGTAAACAAACCTCGTACCTCAAACCCGGTCCCCAGGCTGGTCGTTTGTATACATGTATGAAAATGATGACAAACATGGATGACAGTATGATTTAGAAAATGGAAATTCGGAATTCCTACGGACGATTTGTAGTTGAAACGAATTAGTTATATTTCAGGAAGTAGTGCGTCAGCGTCGCAAAGGCTAAGTGGCCAAAACTACAGTTCCAAAATTCAACTGAACTCTGGCAGTCAGAGCAATTACTTCTCAATTGTATTTTGCCCGTGGATATTTGAAATAGAAACCGTCATTTGTAGCGTGATAGCATAGTGTGTCCATAGAGTAGCATCTGTATACTATAGAGAATATAGAGTAACGTTGAGAATTCCGTCTCATTTTTTCTTCTTCCTTTGGATATTTGAAATAATATAGATGGTTGATACATAATATTTGAAATAGAAACCGTCCTTTGTAGCATGAGAGCATAGCGTGGCTCAAAGCTTAGCAACGCTGATGTATTCACAAAGGGAAATCCCATGTTACGTCGCGTCCCATTGCATTCCTAGCGTTGCAACCTAGCTTGTTCACGTAGAACATAGGTCATGGGGGTAACTTCCACATTTTAATGTTCAGACGCATCAAGCAAAAATAGGTCTTCTATTTTGTACTTGTTGATTTTGCTGTGAGACGTGTGTTTGCTTGTTGTTTTGCTTGTTGTGTTTCATCCTTTTCACAAACCCTTCTCCTTTTCCAATTTAGCTGGTTAAATTGATAGTGTGATAGCTGGATAGCTGGCTATTGCATTGCAACATACCCAAACCAAAAATGAATATCCTATTTTGGGAGCATCGCACCATTCCACGCGTAATTATTACCGTCCAAATTCTCGGACACGCAAAATGATCGATTTTATCAGACTAAGAAGACAGACAGTACTGTAAACGTGTTGCATGACGCCACTGGGACGAGGTTGCACGGTGTATTGACCCTGATTTCTAGGAGACGTTTAGTCCGGTTCCCAATAACCAAAGATTCCCTGACGTCTTTTGATAGAAGTTTAGGTCCTGTATCACGGATATAAATAGATCATGACGCAACGTTGACGGTCACTTTAAAAACATGCAAGAAACTAAAAAGAAAGCCTAGGAAGGGTGCATCGCTGTGTTGCATGAGGGCAGCAAGCAAAAGAAAAAAGACGTATATATCTCATATGCAAACAGACACGGCCAGTAATACCCGAACACCAACGATGCTATCCGAATGTGGACGAGACGAGTTCGGAATAGTTCGTGTATTTTCGGAAGCGTGAGGAATTCCTACGGTTTTGTTCACGTGGACATTGGGTGATACCGGACTCTTGATTCGACGAGCCATCGGGTCTGGTATCCAGACTAGACCTTTTCACCTTTCATGCAACGGGTGATTGAGCAGCGAGCTTGCAACACTGCAGACAGTAAAAACAATTAACGATATTCTAATATTATTAATGCTTTTCTAATATTCCATGTATATATATTCCACATGTCAAAATAATCAATTAAATAAATAAATGAGAAGCTATGTCAAAATTAAGGAGACAAAGAACAGAAGATCAGTAATAAATTAGGTAGGACAATTGTTATTTAAACCATTCACAGCTAAATCCAAATCTAAATCTGGAGGCTAAAATTGGACACATTCTTAATTAAATGTAACATTCAATTGGTAATGTGTTTTTGCGCTAGAAGAAAAGTAGAAAAGTTTGATCTCCATGCTGTTTTGTTGATAGATAAACACAGTTTTGAACCCCATTTGTAACCCAAAGAAATACACACAACAAAAACAACTGCATCCATGAAGACCAAAAAAAAATCTTTGAAATAGACCACCTTAAATTTGAAGTATAGCCCCAGCTCCACTCTCCAAGCATGCCCTAATGTATCCCGAAATTGTTGACGCTGTGTAATGTACTATTGTGGCATTCAGTCTTTTTTCTTCACCGAGGTAAGGTCATAAATGGGAAGCATATACACAGCGCCCCTAATGTCCTCCATGAGAGAGGTAAAATAATCTTGTGACATATTGCAATATGGACGTAATTAAACCAAAACATTTTCCCGGTATTTGGTAATCTTCCATTAAAAAACTTCACTGTAAAAACAACGCTTAGAATTGAACACATTTCTAAACACATTTTTGTAGCCACTTTTTTGACATGTTTAGGGTTATGCGTTTAGGAATGTATTGAATTGCTGAGCGGGTTTCTAAAAGCTAAACATGTACCACGGAAAAGCATTTAGCGTTTTAACACATTGCAAACACATTTTAATAAACATGTCATGAGTTATACTTGTAGAAAAAGTGGGTAAAAAAGTTGTAAACTCTAAATGTTGTTTTTACAGTGTTTAATTCTTGATGGATAGAAATTCATATTTTAATTTTATGGCTTTTTTCTATTTCAGTGTAATTTCTTTTAATTCTCGCAACCACTCTTTCCTGTTTTGGGCAACACAAGCGGAAGCACTCTGTTTAACGGTCTATCTTTTCCTCAGATTTGATCCCCCCTATGTCTCTCTCTTTTAAAGTAATAACATGTCAGTTAAAGAAGTCTGGATGGCCGTTCCCTTTCACAGGATAAAATGGCTGAACTTGGCGAGCGGCAGGCCTCGGGCAGTCGAAGTCGTGACCTTGAGGACGCCCTTTGGCAGCTAGCGGGTGAGCTTGGACAGAGCTGGATGATGATTGGTCGGGCCCTCGACTTTACCGAAGCCAGGCTTCAGAACCTGCAAATGGATTATCCAGCTGATGCTCACGAGAGGGCGTACCAAATGCTACTAAAGTGGAAGAACAAAACAACCCCATCTGAGCGCTCTCAGCAACTACGTGGGGCACTTGAAAAGGCAGAACGGCTAGATCTGATGTATTTTGTTTCCGAAGTTACAAGTAAGTGATAATAATTGTATGTAAAATTCAGACAAAGGAAACACATCACACGTTGGTGTTGATGTGACAAATGCACGTTTGGACGGCGACATCTCGAGCTCCCCCGATTAATGAATAATCTACTGGGACTTGAAGCACTTCCTCACAGGCAGAGGACAGGCTGGTGGGAAGCTTATCAATAATATCGAACAAGGTAGGAGCATGCGATTGGCCCACACAAGAACACAGTATATTTCAATATACAATTGTTGACTGTTTCTTGGTACCCTAAGGGTATACAAAACACCATACATGGACCCCGCCTCGAAAGGCAGCAATTGTTTTGTTTAAATACGGTAATTGAAATGAGGCATACAAAGGGACAAATGAAATACATTTTACTGTGCAACAGTGCATTTTATTTCACTGAAATGGTCTTCCCTAGGAAAGTGTTTAGTTAAACAAATTCAACTAATACTTGTATAAACTGAATAACTGATTCGGAGTACCGTCTTTTGTCTTAACATTACGGAAACATTTTTTAGAAAGCTATCCTTGTCATGGATAACGTCCGAAACTGCGGGGTTTCTCCCGGCCCGGTCACGCCTGTGTCGATGTGGCTGGGGATATCCAGCAATGTAGGCTCGTAGTGCCTCGTTGTGCCGGGAGATTCGCCATAACGAGCTGGAAAACGTTTCTATCAAAGGTGGCAGTTTGCCCTTTTCGGATTTTGTCGAGCCTATATCACCGAATATTGTCCTTTCAAGATACTACACCAGGTCAATGGAGCGAACATTCATGAAGCACATGATCCGCTAAATGTAAATGTAGTTTGGCTGAACTGGGAAAAAGTTTTCTGGGCAACTTGTGGTATGCACAACCAATTTGTTGACTCAGCTTGATATACTTACTCCTTCAGTGGATCATTTTGCTCTTTGCATTGAAATGTTTGATCAGAAATTGAAAGTAAAATAAAACAGTCTACAATATGGGGGAACAATACAGAACCCAATGAACATCTAAGATATACATGTATCTGTCCGCCTGTAATGCCTTTATTACGTGACAGCAAAGTTAGTTTGATATCGGACATCGCCATGGATTTGTACAGCGAATGTCTGATTTTCTCGATACAGTGGACATTCCCATAGGTTTGTACAGCGAATGTCTGATTTTATTGGAAATCAGACAGACTTGTAGGCTATAGGGAATGCCTGATTTCATTGAAATTAGACGTTTCCTGTGAAACCCTATGGGATTATCCAATATCAAACTAAATTTACTGTCATCTTTCCTGCATCTGATTGAAATTTATTTTTCTCACTTGCAGCTCACGATACAGTTTTTGAACAAGTAGTCTGGAAAAAGGGATTAGACAAGGAGACTTTCTGTAAGAAACTAAAGAGTTTTGTTCAATCGAAGATGAGCAAGCTTCCTCTTGTACCATGGATTACCACCGGATGCGTTAATGTTGAACAGGTTTTCACCAATGTCCAACTCCTCATCAGCATCATGGCTGCGTATTTCCCCATTAAACTGCCCCTTCAGTCGTACAACGCTATTTTTAAAGACGTGACCAGAGAGGACGAAGGCCTTATCGATTTCTGTGGCGCGCGTATTCTCATGCGGGGCCGGACTGGCAGTGGGAAAACAACTTTGTTGACCAAGTACGCCTATGACTGGGCCACAGGCAAATCTGAGGCGTTGCTACGGAACGCCCACATCGTACTCGTACTGCCCATGCGCAAGCTCGATCAACACAGCAACCTTGGTCAAGCGGTGCTAGATCACATGCTTCCAAATGAGCGTCGCATCACCCCAGAAGAAATTGAACAGTACTGCGAGGACCACCCCGAAGAAGTGGTCATCCTGCTGGATGGATACGATGAGTTCAAGGGAAAAGGTCTTGACCAAGCAGATTGTGGTAACATTGTGAAGATGCTCAGAGGTGAATGGCTGACTGAATGTCGTGTTGTTGTTACCACTCGGCCAGGACGTGTGGATGATTTCAAGGACGACTATGAGAGCTACCGCCATCTGGAAATAACAGGTTTCACCCCCAAGGACATTGATGACTATGTCCATAAAATTTTCAGGGGTGAGAACAAACCACTGGGAGACAAGTTACTGGTCTACCTCGAAGAGAACCGATTGAAGGAAGAGCTGGCATCCATTCCACTCATGCTGACCGCATTCTGTCAGCTTGCCAAATGGACAGATGGAAAGGATTTCAATGAACTGAATACTATCAGCAAACTGTTTGATAGACTGATTGAATGTGTGTTCAAGCACGACCACAGTAAAGTGGCCAAGAAACGGTTTTCATCGGGAGCCTTTGTCCCCGGGTTACTAGATCCAGAGAAGTTGGTTCTCGAGTTAGGGAAAGTTGCCTTGAATGGCTTTTTTGGCGATGTCACAGAGGAACTGATCTTCTCTGAGGAGGACTTTTCACGTTGTTCCAATCAAGCACAAGTCATTTTGCAAGGCTTACGGGCCGGGGTTCTTTCCAGAGACGGTGATTCCAACGTTCGACCACAGAACTTTGAGGATCTCGGGCTAAAGGGACAAAAACCTTCAACTACACGAGATATTTCCTTCATCCTGAAGAGCATACAAGAAAAATGTGCAGGGAAGTATCTGGCACATTTGCTAGACAGTGGCGACAAAAATTTGTTCACACACTACCTTCAAAAGGTCGACACTGATCAACAAGTTTTGGACTACACTAACATTCTAGTCTTCGCTAGTGCTGCTAGCATTGAGGCCGCCCGGCACATTTTGTCATATGTCATCGCTTTACTCAGGGACACGCAAGGCCAAAATATCTCACAGTACTTGAGTGGGAAGCTGCACTTCAGGCACTGCCAAAAAATACAACGTCTAATCGAAACGTGCCTCCAGCTGAACTTCGAGAGCAATAGTGAAGGTCGGTTTAACCATATGTTTAATTCCCTCTTTGGTGACAGCGGTTGCGTTCGTTTGGTTGGGATGTCTACCTATGTGGCTAAAGCTCTTGGTTACCTCTTTGCACATAGTTGTCAGGGCAAGTTATGTCGAGAGCCAAACTCATACAATTCTCCACCTATAGAAAGGTGTGCTCTATCCGCGAGGAGTCTGCAGTTGATTTGCATTAAGCTCGATTCCAGCACACAGTTCCGAGAGTTCCTAAACTGTTACCCTGGCACTGAAGAGGCAATCAGCAACTTTATGGGAGATAGTGTCAAACCACAGAGTCAAAATGACTTTGGCAGTCTCCGGAAGAAATTACAGACAAGTGAACAGAAAATACCAAACTATCTTGGAAATCGTGACGACCTAACATTCTTCGCAGTGGTACCTATTTGGCAGGAAGTGAGCAAGCATCAAGTACAGGATTTTAGTCTAGGCTTTGTCATTTCTGGCTTGAAGGAATCTTCATTGGACGAACTCGTCTTAAACGGAGTGAGCGCAGACCGCAAAGACTGGAACGTCCTGTTCAATATGATACAAGATGGCGTATTTGCCCAGATGACACGACTGACTCTGAGTTTAAATGATCTCACATTCGACCAATCAGCTCACCTTGCGACCGCTCTGGTGGCCACACCAAATCTGAAATACTTGAAGATGGCTGGGAACGAGTTGGGGGAAAGTTTCGTGGAAAACCTTCCTCAGATGCTGCAGCTCGAAAATGTCATCTTAGACAAGTCAAAGATGCCTTCCAAAGCCATAGTGGAATTCATGAAGAAGCTTGATCGGTTCCCACAACTCAAAAGGCTAGATTTGCGTCGAAATGAGAATACTGACGATGAAGTCATTCAGGCCATTTGTAACAGTCTGAGCAGCCGCCAAACTTGGAAGGAATTAAGACTTTCGCTGTACAAGGTAAGCGAGGCTGGACTCGAGGCTTTCCAGAGATCAATCGGCCAGGCTAAAGAATTGACCCATCTTAATTTGGTGCACTCTCCTATCCCAGACAAAGTGATTCAGTACTGTGCCCCAGCGTTATCAGGCCTAAAACAGTTGGTTGATCTGAGAATATCGGGCATCCCATCATCCACCTCCCAAGAAGGCTCACCATGTACTGAGCAGACCGTGGAGGCATTCACGACTGAAATGCACAAGCTGCAACACCTGAAATTCCTGAGCTTCCTCTACACGAAGATGTTTCCACAGGACTTCATCACGATGCTTAACCGCTGCCAGAAACACACTTCTCTCAAGACGTTCAGGTGGGTTGCTATCACACATCAGTACTCATTCATACAAGAGAACCTTCGCTGTGTGGAAAATATGTATGAAGTACGGATGGCACTAGTAGCAGATAAGTTTCAATCTAGATTGGAGACCGAAACACCTAATTATTTCTTGCAGACAGAATTTAATAGATATCGAACCAACACTTAAGGGGATTCACACTTTCAAAACTTGCTCGAAAATCATCTAGAAATGGCAAAACGTCCTTTCCAGCAAAGGCAATGAGCGCACATTTCACCCACTATAAAACCTATTCTATCGAAGCATCTTTTCCTATTGTCCAAATCCATCGCTGAATTAAATTGCCAAGTTTTTTTTTCTGTACCAAACAATTATTCCAGTCACATAATTTGCAGCATCATTTGCAGCTACTGTATTCTTCTCTGTGAAGGTTCTCTCGCCAATATTTGCCAGCGGGCTCTAAAGTCGAGACAGCATGTGAGAAAGCAGAAACCAAATTTCTGCAGCTGTGGGTGTAATGATTTCGGGGGAACAGCACCAACGAAACACAAAGACGGCTGACGTGCAATACTCCCAGTCGCCTGGTCTGAACATTTTTGTAAATATGACGTATTTCCCTTGACCCCAAAAGGCACAAATTAATTCAGTTTCTTTCAGTTCATTTTATTGGGTTCCTGCGTTTGGTACGTCAAATTTGTATACACAAGACATTGATTGAGAAGACACGACTAAGAACACAGTAATCAGATCTTATACAGTTTTTTGTTGAGATACCTTCAACTTTTAACATTTCTGAGAAAAAATGGCATTCTTAGAGAGTTAGGCCTATATCCTTTTAATGCAAATATTTTTGCGAATGTCTCTGGGGTATATCTTTTGTATTTGTTGGTGTCTCCAGAGTAAAGCCAGCAAGATATGGGACGGAAGGGATCCCCACCCCTACATGTCCAATACCTATACAGTCCTTAGAGTATTGTTACCTAACACACCCCCATGTCTATAAAAAATTCTTGAGATTCCGGTCAAACAATGACCACCACAAAGGTGGGGTGGGTGCTCTCCGTCCCACATCTCGCTTCATATGTTCCAAAGTGATTAACGTCATCACTTAATTTTAGGAGAAACGACAAAAAAGTGTAGATTCTTTGATTTTAATTGGCGAAGACGCGATTCCCTGACTTAAACCATAGAGGAGGAACACAGAAGTAGTTTGAACTTCCCAGGCTATAACTCCTGGCCAATTACCGCTCTCTGGCATGCCCAGTATGCCCATGGCCAGAGCGCTTGCTACGCACCATGTGTGTCACCACCACGAAACCCCTTTGTACTCTATGATAACCGTCGAAATTTTGTCGCTGGTAATCTGCATCCTTTGAACTTGTGTACTTAAGTATAGGACATTGAATATTCACGCATTTGTTGGTGCTTGGTATGATTTCATAACAAAATCAAATGTAATGCTTGCGGAGTTGCTTGTATTACGCTTTGTGCCCTAAATGTACAAGTGCAGTCATTGCCCTTTAATAATGAACGCTTTCTTCTGGATATTTTTGGAGATAAATTGTCCTGTTGTTCACAATATGTTGTGTCCTGTTTGAATCATTTTTATTATCGCGTTTGTACAAAAGCATACTTGACGAGATTTCATGATCAATCCATGTGATTGAATAGCGCATTCTATTCCTTATGAATTTAGCTTTCAAGCAGTAGTCAACATTTGTTGGCCAGTCTTGGCCAAATTTGTACCAAGCGTTTAAAAACTGATGTATCGGAGGGAGGGGAATAGAATTGCAAACTTTGCATGGATAATAGAACAGTGTATCAAAATAAAAAAATGATTGCAAAAGTAGGTCTAATATCAGAGATTTCTCTCTCTCTCTCTCTCTCTCTCTCTCTCTCTCTCTCTCTCTCTCTCTCTCTCTCTCTCTCTCTCTCTCTCCTGGTCACAGGAATGACTTATATTATTATATTTAATTGCAAGCAAAACACCACAACTACTGTTAGGATAGTATTTCCCCGCTTATCCAGCTAAGATGGAGGCAGTACTCGGGCATTTTTGGAATGTTTTCTGTTATTTCACATGACTCGGCGGTGACCACCATTGAACACTTTGAAGTGCCAGCGTTGCAAACTGCTTCTGCCCTTCCTCTATGCTTAAAACACGTCCCTCCCTTCACTTTTGTCCATGTTATACAAGCGAAAGTGAACAAAACGTCCTTACCAATGCTCTAGTAGTATAGTGTATGGGTATTCTAGACCAGTATAGGGTCCCTTCTCCTGGTACCTACACGACCCTTTTTCTCGATCAGTAAATGTGAGTTTAGCTCACAATAAAAATTCTACCTTTGGTGTGCTCGTGGGGACCTCTGTGGTCTCCGTGGATAGATACCTGACTGTTACTCGCTGGCTTTAAAACAAAACAATTTTTAGTGGTTTAGAAAAATATGACAAAATATTAAAACATTGTAGTTATGTATGAGCAATTTTGTAAAAAAAATGTCAAATGTATCTGTTGCAGTTACTGCATTGATTGTGCTGAATGTAAAGGTTGTAACGATTGGAAAAAGTGAAGAGATTATTGTAACAAATGCACCAAGTCTGTCAAATGTATCTGTTGTCAAAACTGAAAATTGCATCGAATGTGAATGTTGTAAAGAATGTAACTGTTGTGAATACTGTGAAGCTTGCAACGATTGTAAACACTGTAAAAATTGCATCGAATGTTTTGCTGTAAAATGTATTAACTGTGAAGATTGGAAATACTGCACAGATTGCAGCAATTGCGTTGACTGCAATGGTTTAATTGATTACTTCTAGAAATAACGTATCGATGGATTAAAACAAAAAGTTCCCCGTTTCAAGGTGAAACTGGGTTTAGTATAAACTCTAGTCTAAACAGGGTGCCTATGACTGGTTCGCTTTCCTCGCTAGGTAAAGATTTATATCTTGGTGGGCACTCTTTTTAGGTTACTTACGATACGAAATATCAAATCCGTCAACGTGTTTTATTATATGAAATGACCAACAATGCTTCTCACTGCGCTCGTGCTCGCTCGCGTCGTTTTTTCTTCCTTGCCAAACATGACTCTGGCTAAACGTTTAGCGCGTTTTTCGACCTCTTGGTCGCTCGCTGCGCTCACCTGGAGTTTGGTATCAGTCTTCAGATTTTTCTTTCAATTCGTTAAATTTTTTAGCTCGCCTGCGACCAACACAAATTCCTCGTGAGAAATATCACCGTCGTTAATGGCCTGCGAGATTTATTCTTCGATCTTTTTAAACTTTTTGTCGCAGAGCATTCTGATTTGATCGTGTTTTTTAGACGTATTTTAACACGGCGTACGCACAAAACGCACCGATGGCGATGCCTTCCATCAAAGGCCCAGGGGTGCCGAAATCAAACCTAACATAGCGGGTATTCCCACGGCTGGCGACGTTGCACCCAATGCCTCAACTCCGTGTTTCACGTAGTTTAGCGCGGTGAGTATCCGTTTTGTGCTTTGACAGGCTTCGATTTTTTAGAGTCTGTAGAGCTATGTTTGGTTTTCAGCTTCGCGCTCTTCCAACTCGGGGTAAAGCCTGAAAATCTCTGGTGACTTACTCAAGGTCGTTAAGGTTTTTTTTTTAATTATATGCTTAAAAGAAATTTACGTAGGAAGACAGTCTCTTAGACCTGCGGGGCTATTTATAAATCAATCGGAATTCCAGCGCCCTTGTATTTATCACTTCTCCCCTGTCGTTTCTCACCGAAAAATGGAAACTTGTTATTTTTCCGTTTTTAAGTGGTTTTGCCATCTCGCTTGGGTCTGTAATAGAGCACAACATGTCTGAAGTCTGGCCGTTAAAATAATTATGAGACGTGTTTAACTCGCGACAGTGTATCCAAAGCTCATCGAAAGGGTTTACGGTTATTTTTCCTTTGTAAATAACGTTTGGTACTAGCCTACCTTTTGGCAGGTTTAACAGCTTTGGGACTTCTTTACCCAACCGCAATCTAAGATTTAAGTCTGTTATCATAATTGTAACTAAATTCGAGTCTCTATGTACTTTAAAACTTACGCCCAGAATTACGTTTAAAATAAATTCAAAGCAATCAACGTCGTAAAATCCAGGAGGAATAATGATGTTACCGCGCTCTCCATGTTACAAAAAATTCCTGGATGTTTCCCCGTGTAGAGCTGTTGCATGATTATACTATTGAAACCCCTAGGTCTAACTAAAGAACATCTCTTGGTTCGGATTGAGCGCTTCTAATTTTTGGCGTTATTTGCACGAATTATCTTCTCAGAAAATCCTTCCTTGAATAAACTTCAGTACAGTGCAATGCGTTGTGCTTCCGTAATGAGATCTTATTTTCTTTAGTTAAAAGCATTAGATAATTAATTGCTTTTCATTGCTGCCTATGAATTCCTCTTGCTATATTTTCTCTTCTCAAATTTGCTGTTTGTTCGTTGAGGTTATCTAGTTTTTGACTAATGGTATCGCTAAATTCTTCTAGATTTTCTTCCTCATGAGCTTGAATATGATCACTTATTACGTCATAAAAAAACAAACTGTCTGATTTCGGTGGAGTTTGTAATGTTAAAATATCCAGGGTGAAAACTTACTCTTTTAACTCTAACGACTTTTTTGCCTTGTAATTTATCGATGTAGTCTTGTAATTTAAATGTCTGCTCATTTTTAGTGAAGGGAAAAGTGTGTGTTTTAACTTCTTACATATTGATTGTTTGTTCGTTTTTAAAAACTAAACTAAACTAAACTAAACTAAACTAAACTAAACTAAACTAAACTAAACTAAACTAAACTAAACTAAACTAAACTAAACTAAACTAAACTAAACTAAACTAAACTAAACTAAACTAAACTAAACTAAACTAAACTAAACTAAACTAAACTAAACTAAACTAAACTAAACTAAACTAAACTAAACTAAACTAAACTAAACTAAACTAAACTAAACTAAACTAAACTAAACTAAACTAAACTAAACTAAACTAAACTAAACCGAGAACACTTGACGCGTTTATAAAATGTGTTTACGTGTTTACAACATTAAACACAATATGTATTTTGTAAACACTAGTGGTTAGAACATGTTTAGATTACCTCAACACTGCGTTTACCTTGTATAAATTTGCAGAAGTATTATGATTAAAATTTCAGACTTAGAGCTCAAAACAAGTGTCAATGACAAGGACAGAGGTCAGTGTGATGTTGCGATTACTGTTTAAAAGTGGTATACCCAATGACATTCAAATATAAAAAAGTAATTTGGTCGACAAACTCACAATTCATTTCTTTGATTTATTCAAGTACAGGTGCGTAGCCACCACTGTTTGCATCACTGTTTGTAAGAAACTGAGTCTCGAAAAGTTGAATTTTTCCCAAAGAGCAGTACATCTTCAAGCGAAGCATGCCAGTTTGTAAACCCTGTATTCACTGCCACTCTAAACTAAATGTTTAAAATTGGACAACTGATCATGCGCAAACCAACTTTTTGGCCCGGATACATGGTCTAGAATTAGCTGGTATCCGGTTTGTAAGTGACTTCGTCACAAAGGAAGCCGCGCCACAATTTACAGGCTCCCATCGGACGATTGCTGAAGTTGCGCTTTAACTTCCGCTTCCATGGTTCCAGTAAACGACGATCAATAAATGTAACTCTATGTGCAGTGCATGTGCAGTGGGCGTGGTTTTAACTGAGGCGACGTCACACTTTACGAACCGGATAGATATGCGCCATAAAGATTCTCTAATTTTAAACTTGTGCATGGCAACTGACAAATGACAGCCGAAATGACAACCAAAGGTCTTTGAAATAGAAATATAAGTGTAGTTTCCTGGTGGGATCGTCCCGGTGCTTTTACTTTTGTTTCATGTCGATTTTGGACCCTATTTAAAAAAGAGTCCTAAATGCAGAGGCATATTGTTGTGTTAAATAATTAAACACATTTGAAGTCTTAAACACTTTATAACTTATAAACGTGTTAAAATGTTTATAAACTGTTACAGCATGTAAATGTGTCAAAATGTTTATATCTAAACGCTTCCCTAAACACACTGACATGTTTAGTTGAATATACCATGTGTTTAAATATTGAAAGAGTAAAGGGTATATTTACCGGTCCATTATGTTGGAGTGCTAAACATGTGTGTTTATATTGATAAACATCCTTTTTGTAAACGTATAAAAATGTCAAAAAATTGTTGTAAAAACGCATTTATAAAGTGTTTAGAAATTAAACACTTGGATTTACAGTGTACTCGATGACCCAAAACCATATGTGTACACTCCGGTTAACTTTCACGTGTATTATACGGTGAGAAAGATATTGTTCTATTGTAAACTACCTATACCAAATAAGAAGGTATTTGAGCCGTTAAAATAACAACTTTGACCACGCAGAGTTTGACATCAGTCGCATGTTTACCGTTAACTCGACTAGGTCGTTTAAACAAACGCGAAGTACTTTGTCAAATGGACTTGGAACTGTTTTCTATATTGTTAGATTTAGAGCGGGAAATATTTACCGGTGCCGGGACTCAACTATAACACACACACCGTTTACGACGAATATGGAATATGGTTTATGTTATCTGGACACACAAGCGATCTTCCTGTTAATCGAGCAGTCTGACGACGTCAAAACGGCTTTGCGGGACTTTATACTCAAAACTGCAAGGTTAACTGAGGGTTTGTGTGTATGCTTTGTTAGGAGCGCAAGTGCAAACAAAAACCAGCGTGATTGCTAAAAGCACTGGGTTAGACGCTCAACAACAGTTTGTAATAATTGTAAATTCTCTCATAAATTCAGTACCCGACTGCGAACAATCAGTTTAAAAACTC